TTGATTATGAAAAAAGAATAAGTTCCTTGGGTTATTAATCAAAACTCTTCGAGACACAATAAGTTTAAGACTTAGAGCCGATGGCATAAATGATAGTTTATTCGAGCCCTCCCAACAAACTATTGTAAATATTAATGCCAGCGGCATGTTATCATATGTATGATTAGGATATCCCACTTATCGGTTGGTAATACTAGAGTACTCAAAGAACATAGGCAGGGCCGGATTTAAGGCAGGATTGCCGAGGCTGTGACCCAGGGAGAGGCCCTGGGGCACTGCTCAAAAAACAATAAGTTCTATGGGCCACCAACCTGGGGGGGTGGGGAGGTAGATGGCCCGGCCCAGATATAGAGGTCCCCATACCTTTACATCCGACCCTGCACGTTGGTTTTTATTAATGTGATCAAATAATATATCTTAACTACTTAAGTCTTTGACAGACTCAATGTTGTTGGTTGTTTCTTAATAACCACTTATTATATTACCGTATCAGTTGCAGAGTAATGACAGAGCTTCAGCGTAAAAATTCTCTGCTACTTTCAAATAACTAATTTCTCAAGAAATATAGATAGGAACTGAAACTTTTCGTAGTATCTATTTTTAGACATTCCAACCACAATAATTAATAATACATAAATAAATATCTCGTAATCCTGGGTATAAAAATTAAACCTTTTTTCTGATTGATGATATGAAAAAAAAAATATTTAGGTTTTTACTCAAAAATCTTCGAGGCACAATAAGTTTTGATAGGGGCCCAAATTCCCTGGCAAAATGGGCAATGTCCCTTAAAGACTTAGAGCCGATGGCATAAATATTAACAATAGTTTATTGAGCGCTCTCAACAAACTATTGTAAATATTAATGCCATCGGCATGTAATCATATGTATGATTAGGATATCCCACTTATCGGTTGGTAATGCTAGAGTACTCAAACAACGTAGGCAGGGCCGGATTTAAGGCAGGACTGGCGAGGCTTTGGGCCAGGAGAGGTCCTGGGGAACTGCTAAAAAAAACAATAAGTTCTACGGGCCACCAACCTGGGGGGGTGGGGAGGCAGATGGCCCGGCCCAGATTTAGGGATCTCCATACCTTTAAATACGACCCTGCACGTTGGTGTTTATTAATGTGATCAAATAATTATCTTAGCCAGTAGTCCGTACGTATTTCAGGTAAGGTATTTCTATATTCCTCCCAATTAAAAGCAGTAACGTCGCCTAACTTCATAGTTATTATATGTATGACTAGCAAACCCGGCGAACTCTGTTTCGCCACCAGATGGCTTCGTTTTATGTAACATTTCGTTTGGTGATTAAAAGAAGTTTTTTTTTTTATTTTTCCTGAATTTTCTTTGCTATAAACCTCACGGAGCCCGAGACCTTTCCAACGAATGCAAAACCGTGGAAATCGGTTCGTGCGTTCTGGAGTTATAGCGTCAGGAAGGAAAACCCGACTTATTTTTATATAGTAGATAAGATATCCCACTTAACGGTCTGTAATACTCAATTCAAATTCAATATCGTTTATTCAGTATAGGCTGGGAGACTTTGTACTGAGAAGAACCGGCAAGAAACTCAGCAAGGGCTGTTTTTTCACGCTGTATTATATACAAAGTCGTCAAAATGAAAAATGACTACAATATGAAATAGCTCATAAAGTCACTTTCCATTAAAAATGTAAATAACATAAAAATTATGACTAAAACATTTGAGTACGAAAACACGTAGACAGGGCCGGATTTAAGGCAAGGCAGTGCCCCTCTCTTATGGGGGCCCTGGGCCACAGCTAAAAAAAATCAAATTTAGAATTTCGACGGGCCGGACGAGACGGACGGAATTTAGAATAAAAAAAAATATGATACGCTCCTCCTTCCACATCATAATCAGCCTATTACCGCAGATGCAGGCGGGATCAACTGCTTAACGTACCTTTGGAAGCACGGAAGAGCACACACAGAAAGAACTGCGAAAGTTGCTTAGCTTCAATGATCGCAGCCGAACGCGCTAACCTCTTGCGCCATCGAACTCCATCCACGCAGGCGGTGAACCGGTTTGCCATCGTCGGCAGAACGTGGCACCAGTGGCAAGTGGCAAAAACGCGGGCGCAGGCAGCGGAAAATCAGGCGGGCAACGAAAGATCGAAATGATCTTTTTTGTTGAATTTATAGTTTTATAGCACTTAGAAAGGGCACTATTCATCATAGGCGAATGATTAGGGCAAAAGCTTTACTTCAATAACAAAAATTAAAGCTTTTGAGACACTTTGGATGAATAAATGCAATAGACTGATAGTTATATCACTTGAAGCATCAATAGAAGTACTAGCTTGACCTAGACGGATGTGCGAGAATAATTTTGGTATTACATATAAGAATAGATATAAAATCCAGGAACCCCAACAGAGTTATTTTCATACCTATGCCTGGCAAAACTATCTATTCACAACCCAAAGCGAACAGACCGATTAGCTTGACATCATTTCTAAAAACACTGGAGAGACTTTGTGACCGACACATCCGGGACTTTTCAGGAGATGCCACTACCAGTGGCGTAGCGTAATGGGGGCGGCAAAATTTTACAATAAATAATAAAAATATTTCAACCATTTAAATAAGAGGGCGGAAAAATTGATCTTCGCCCCGGGCGGCCGACACCCACGCTACGCCGCTGGCCACTACATAAACAACGCCTACTCCACAGGAAAATCAACACAATCTGTAGCACAAAGTGTGATCTCTAAGATAGAATGTGCAGTGGACTACACTAGCGCTTTTTATTGACATGAAGGCGTTGACGAAACCTTATTCCATAGCATCAACGCAGCCTTCGAGAAACACGCTGTGGACTCGACCCTGCGTGGATGGATCACAAACATGCTCAAACTCAAGAGCCGTACATCATCATCATCATCAGCCTATCACTGCTGGGGCACAGGCCTTCCCTATGGATGGAATGGGGAGATTTGGCCATGACCCACCACGCGGGCCCAGTGCGGATTGGTGGGTGCTAACGACTGCAGATGCAGCCGGGACCAACGGCTTAACGTGCCTTCCGAAGCACGGAGGAGCTCGAGATAGTAATTTTTGGTCACCCATCCAATGACGACCACTGCGAAAGTCGCTTAAGTTCAACGATCGCAGCCGAACGCGCTAACCACTTGCGCCATCGAGCTCCTCACATCACGATCAAGAGCCGTACAAGTCACAGTAAACGATACCACAAGAGTCATCGTGGCGAGGGGACATCCTCTGCCACTCCGATGTAATCTTGTGCTTCACGGTGAGCTACACTGATGACATAACTTTAATAATAAACGGCACAAATGAAAACACACTATGCAACCTTATGCGTCAAGCCTTGAAAGTAGAAGACTGGTGTAAGGAATACAAACTAGCCGGTCAACCCCGCCAAAACCGAACTCTGCCTTTTTACAAAGAAAAGGAAGTTGGCAACTTCATAACTACTTTAATTCTTAGGTACCGCTCTAAGCGTATCTACTGATTTCACGAAACCTGGGCGTCTATTTGGACAAACAGCTGAGCTGGGCAAAACACACCGATTACATCATGACAAAGGCCAGCATAGCTTTATCGGTCGAAATTGGGGCTTAAGCTATAAAATCACCTACTGGCTATACATCACATTCATCCGACCAATCAACATATATGGGTCCTTATTTTGTTGGCCTAGGACCAAACTAACACAGCCCAGAAGGACCTAGAAACTACAGAGATTTGCCTGCGTACTGGCTGCATGAGAACATCAACCACAGCTACCTTACAGATGATTCTGGGATTACCACCCTTACATCTTGTTGTAAGGGAGGAGGCGACCTTAGCGACTTTGAGTCTTGAAAACATACTATTGCTGAGCTGAGTTGCATGATTACTCACGCCCGGAAGAACTAAGGAAACGATCAACACTGATGGATCAAAAACTGAGCTTGGAACTAAGGTCGGGGTCTTCCCAAACGCATACATGGAACCAGAAGAAAGGGTGGCGCATATGCTCCTCGAGTGCACTGGTGGCGCCCAGATCCGCAGGGAGACCCCTGGTAAACCGGAATACCTTGCAGATACCCTGAGAAGACAAGGGCGAATCCAGCCTTGGCGCCAGGGGGGGTCATATAGTCGTGATCAAGTCACAGTGGGTACAGATTGTGAAGTGGATACAGATAGACCCAGCCCAGGTCATGACCCTCATGACCTCCCCCCCCCCCCCTGGATCCGCCCTTGTGAGAAGACTGGGAACACTGATCTGATACTGGAGGGAGGTGGGCTAGCTGAAATAACCAGCTGCTATGGCTTACGCACAATGGTCCACTTAAAAGACTTAGTGCAGAAACCTAAACCCCTAACATGAAACATAAAAATAGTTAAATTTATAATATTTTTGTTTTGTGGGTATTTTTAACATTCGAGAAGTGGCACAAAAATTATTTACACAGGTAAAAGGGGAAAGAACTAGGATAAAAAAAGGAACTGGCTCCCAACAAGAAAAGGTAGACAAGCAGGAGAATTGATGCTTGTGTCTGTAGCAGTCTGCCCACACAACAGTCTGCTCTACATATTGCTTGTGATTGTAGGATCTTGTCACGTTCCCCAGTATTGTCAAGAGTGGAACAAATTAAAACATATTCTCTTGCTTGCTGTGAATTAATAGCTGATAAATGCTACTATTACTAAAACATATAAATATATAAAATGCTATCTATTTATATATATATTAATAATGTAGTTAACTACTAAGGTTCATAGCGCATACACACGTCCACGATCTTCATTAGTTGCAGATGTTTTGGTGAGTGGAGCTGAAGGGATAGTGATGTCACTCAGCCAGGGAGGCCAGAGCAAACAGTAGGTATTAAAAAAATATAAGTGTCTCCAACAAGGTAGCTTTAAGATGTAACATCAAAACCCAGAGTGCTCTGTGCATCATTCTAATTTAGAAGAGAAGAATTGAAAAAGAATATGGTGGAAAAGCATTTGAATATTACATACCTTTCAAACATTTTTACAGTAATTTTAGGATTACTCGGAGGACTCGTCTGTATTTTGAGACGAGTAAGATGGACATAGTGTTGGAAAGGGAAGGTCCATTTGTCAAGATCACTGTAAACGAGTGCCAGCAAGTTGTGCCCACTGACATTACGCCATTCATTTATGGGTTCCTAAAACAATAATATTAAATTGTGTACAGTTACAACTTACAGCACTAAGAAACATGTAGTTTAACATTGCCATGATGTTTTTGTCAAATTAAGATTAAAATTTAAGAAACTCAACACTGTTTGTACGCTCCTCACAAATTACTACAAAAACTAAATTCATACATTAAATAAAACAAGTTTCAACGGATTAGATGCACTGATTTCATTTATTTATTGACGTATCGAATCCTTTGCAGGAATGCGTCGTCGGAATAATTCATTCATTTCAAGAGAAGTTGTGTCAGTTTCTCTTATAGAGAAAGAGAAGAAATCTGTGTAATCAGACCGCATGGTTAAAGTTCAGTGAGTAATTTTTAAATGATATCAAGCTAGACTTACAGGATGTTTTTCCAGGACCGGATATTTTTCAAAGAATTTGATGCATGTTGATTTTCCTGATCCAATATTACCTTCAATAGATACCCTGAAAGGTCTTCTGTGAACCGTGCGCGCGATGTTACTGACCGATTTTACACTTGACATTATCACTGATAGTAAAATATTATTAAAGTAAACACAGGGTACTTTATTTATTATTTGCGTGTTATAGATAAGTTGATTCTCACGATAACAAGTAAGTATGCCAAGAGAATTCACAACACAACGAATGACAAAAATTAGACGACGAATTTGGCGCCAAAATGTCATGATGACATTGTCATTTTTTTAAGATGATCCCTTTTTAAGGAAGGCAAAGGAAACTATGCCCATACGTCCATAGTTTTAAGTTTTATTAATCTTTTTTTTATATTAGAATGTCGGTGTGACGTTACATACAATCAAAAACTTATTATTAATTTACTACAGACAAACACATGAAAAATTACGCTTAAAGGGCCAACCATTTATATAATTGTAGTCTACCCTGTGATAGTAAATTAACAAACACAAAAACAAGTCAATGAAAATAGAAATTCTTAGGCCATAGCCATAGACCAGGCTTGTTGGCCAGAATTCTTTGCTTAATTATGTCAATAAATGTCAATGGGAGTTTTTGGCGGGATTGTATCGAGTACCGTGGGCGTCTTATTTTAATTATTCTTAAATTAGTCCATAGTCGATATCGTGAAATAATAGGGATGATTTTGTGTTACAACCGTCTGCGCAACTGCAAAATTAGTGGAATCTATAAAACATACGCTATTCCGGTCAAGTGGACGTGAGAACTTTAATGTAGTGTTGACTACCTAACAGAAGCTTATCAGAAAATTTGAACTCGATACATTTCATGCCAAACACTCCAAGAAACAATAGAATGCGTCACACCGATATTGTTATGTAAAAAAAAGAAGATTAATAAAACTTAAGACTAGGCTGTATGGGCATTGTTCCCTTTGCCTTAGAGTCTTAAAAAATATGTTAATGTCATTATGACATTATGGCGCCAAATTCGTCGTATAATTATTGGATTATGTCATTTTATGACCACTATCGAAAAAAAACAAAAGATTTGATTATTTACAAATGAAAATAACAAATTAATTTACTAAAGACTTGGCTTATTGCCTCTAAACAAAAACAAAATAACAGATTTCGCCTTACCTTTATAATATTTTAAGTCAACTCGAATTATGGACGTAAGACTTGGCAGTATGGCCAGGGGTCGGAAAGTCGTAAAGAACTTGCTTTAGAGGTTTTTGCTAGCGACAACAGCTCGATGTCAAATAACTGTCAGTGTTGGGCTGCGTTCCAAACCTACGCCCTGAGTGCAACTTTTCACTATAACGTTTAAATTTTCATATAAAAATAAGCTATACGGTATGGAACGCACAATTGTGTCAGTTGGTTTGGTTGATTGCAAAATTCAAATGGCTGCCATTTGAAGTTTTGTTGTAGATTTGTCGCACGCGATTTATAAATTCTCATCAGATTCAAGTACGTTGAGTCGAGTATCATTCTCCTCCGTCTTCTTCTCGTTGTGTTCACAATTTCCTAGTCTTCACTTTCGTTGAGTTGAGTTTGAACTTGGTTCCTCGCTCAAGGATCGTCGCAGGCGCCGATCTTTTGTGATTTCGCGAAACGGACGCTATTTATGTTTAGTGTAGTTTATTTGCAAGTGACTCCATTAGTTTAGTGTATTCTCATCATCATGCCATCCTCCAGGCGTTGTGTATTCGGATGTATTACCAAAGGTGAGTAATTTCTAAGTTTTGTTTCACAACACCATGAAACCCGGCGTACAAACCACTCGGCCACGGAGGTTCTCGTATTACCTACTCTTAAACTAACAAATCTATCTTAACTGTTATAGTTTTACTTAAAAGTTCATGAAAAACTATATTATACTCAATGATTTTTTCCAGGTTTTTCTAGACAATAGTTTAGCTTTAAGAGGGGGGAGGACGCCCTACTCGCATAAAGTCAATCGAAAAATAGTCTTAGGTACCCCTAAATAATTTTAAAGGACCTATTGAACGATGTTCCACACGATGGGGTAGATGATGAAAAAAGAAACATCCCCAGGTTACGTAGGGTCCCTAACTTAAAAAAAAAATTATTTCCTAAATTTTATTCTACCATTTTGTCGGCGTAATCGATATTCACACAAAATTACAGCTCTCCAGTGCTAATTAGTCTCCAAGCTTCCGTAGACCTGACAAGGTCTACGAAACCCTAAAAACGCCTTATAAAATTTATTCGTCATTAAATTCCCTACAACTTTTGTATTAAACTTGGAATGTGTGCAAATAATAATAACAATAAATATTTCCAACACTCACACCAATTAGCCCCAAAGTAAGCACTATAAGGCTTGTGTTATGGGATACTAAGGTAACGGATAGAATACATATGTAGGAAGGCCAAAGGGGAAGATCTTCCTCCGAGCTGGGTGATGGTAGCTCGGGGGCCGCGGCCCGACTGATGTTGGTCGGGCATCGTATATATGAAGAGTTAGCTCCCGAATTTCATTTGCGCGATGTAGGCTTCCATACTATTATGATCGCAGTGCAGGTAACGCCATCTCTTGAGGATGGTGAGTAATGATTTCCTCCATCCGTTGTATATATGTGGGGTATGTAGATGTCGCTGCCACATCACTCCCCTCCGAGACCGAGGAGATGGTCAGTGTTTTCAGCAGTCAGTGCGTCAGTCGAGCTTACAAGTGCCAGTGTACTGCAGGTTGCCCCAGTCTGCGGTGAGTCGAGACGGGTGGGATGAAGGCGCGTCGCCAGTGCCGCAGAGGTGCTTCAGTCTACGGTGGGTCCGAGCTGCTGGTGTGCAGGGCTGCCACGCCGGTGTGCTTGCGGCCGACAAGTGGGGTACCGGTCTTGGGCTGCGGAGACCAGGTCGGGATGATGCCGTCGGGTGCTGCCGAAGGTCCAGGAAGCATCGTTGAGCGCTGCGATGGAACCCTGAGGCTGATGCTGGCTTGCTGTGTGACTGCTGATGCTGCTTGACCTGATGAAGAAGGGGTATGAGGATTGATGGCTGCGCTGCGATGGTAGAAGGTTGCTTTTTGGTGCTGCTGTGCTCAGTCGAGGGTCACCAGTGTAGGAAGGCCAAAGGCGAAGATCTTCCTCCGAGCTGGGTGATGATAGCTCGGGGGCCGCGGCCCGACTGATGTTGGTCGGGCATCGTATATATGAAGAGTTAGCTCAATTTCATTTGCGCGATGTAGGCTTCCATACTATTATGATCGCAGTGCAGGTAACGCTATCTCTTGAGGATGGTGAGTAATGATTTCCTCCATCCGTTGTATATATGTGGGGCATATAGATGTCGCCGCCACACATATACTGAACATATATATAAGTGTATTTATATGGAAATACATATTAAATATCCATGACTGGAGTACAAATGCTCGTGTTCATCACACAAACATCTGCCCCCACCGGGATTCGAACCCTCGAGTCGGCGACACCATGATACGCGGCGTACAAACCACTCGGCCACGGAGGTCATCAACAAAATGGAAAATCCTATGGAAAACACGAAACGGAAATGCGTCAGTTCAGCACCATCCCAACGGGACTACAGCACCACCAGAAGGTGGGCTTAATTTACTGTAGTCTTCTGTAAGCTGGGTGTTACTTTCACAGACAGGCGGACCCTAAATTGAGCGAAAATTTTGTAGGTCAATAGTTTTACAATTCAAAAATTAACTGATTTCTTGATCTTTGCCAGATGAGCCTTATATGTTCTGGTAAACAATTTTTAAATTGTTATTTGATTTATCTTTAGTTGTATTTGGATCATATTATTCCAAAGAAGTGTCTCAATACAAGGAATTATCCTGTCCTATAGAAGCATTTGGTCTAGCCAACTTATTGGCTGAGTGTTTAAAATAATAACATAAACAAATAGATAAATGATAGCGAGACCAATCATTCATCTATGCATAAACATAATAACGACTAAACTACCTGTCTTCTTTTTAAACTGAGAAAGATACTTAGATCCTATCTTCAGCTATAAATAATATTAATATATATTTCTTAAAAAAATATTAATGACACTCAAATGACGTTTCTTATTAAAATGCACATTATTATTGTACTATACTACCCATGTAGTACCAGATGCACTTTTGTGCCATTGTTAATGTCACACATCAAGTTGTCAAGTTACTACAAACAGTAAAATTGTCATTATATTTTTTTTATAGTCAGCTGGAGAAACTTGACACTTTTTTGGTAATTTGACCCGTGGCTGTCTGTCTTCGTAGCGATTCCTTTATTACACACGGTACTTATAACTACCTTATTACTACAAATGATTGCTAACTGTCATGTCAATCTGTTCGCAACTCCGTTCTCAATTACAGAGAGCGGGCGGGTGGGACGCGTGTCCGTGAATCACGTTTCAATTTTAAATGAACCTGTCAGCTTGTGCCTGGCTGATAACTGTTCGCTGCTGGACAAAATTAATCTTATTTCGTTTCAATTTCCACTCATCTGGTGACTATTATGGTTATTGCGAATCTCTGTAAGTAATTGTTGTTATTGCGTTCTTATTAATCACAAATGACGAAGTTCAAAGACGTGTCGGTCAAACTCGCAAATTGTTGCAGACCATCAGGGGGGCATTCGCCTAACGGAAATGCTTTGGAAAACGCTTTCGATTTCATTTTGTTATTCCGGACCGCCGAAGGTTTTCAAATACCTCACGCTCATTTTTTTAATATTGTTATTACCAATGCAAAAGAAAAAAAGAGCGCGAGGCATTTGAAAACCTCTGGTGGCTAGAAATAACAAAACGAAATCGTAAGCGTTAGCCTTTTCCAAAGCATTTCCTTTAGGCAAATGGCCCCCAGATGAAGAAAAGTTGCCTACCTCATATCTTGAGACACGAGAGATACGACTTACTGCAACTCATCATAATGGCCAAAATTGCGGGGAAACGTCCGTAGGAAAAAATCCTGGCTTCGAAACACCCGTGAGTGGACCGGAGTCAAGTGCGCCGCGGAATTATTTCACCTCGCCAGGGACAAAGCGAAGTTTTCAAGGCAGATGTTCAACCTTCAGTAATTGGAGAGGAACATGAAGAAGAAAGATGATCGTCATGTCAGCCGTACGATAGCCGTACGTCGTCCGTCGCAATTCGAGACCATTTTCGCCCCAATAACCATCGGTTCTCCTCCCTACGTATACCTCCCATTGCCACTCAGCAGAGCGGTTACTCCTACGATTTCTTCAGTTCTAATTCTATCG